CACTCTTGCAATATTCTAAACAATGTGTCTAAACTCTAAACGCTCTAAAAGAGCACAGCATGTCATTATCGCCGCTCTCTCTGCCACCGGCTGCTTTCTGCCACCTGTGCTCTTGGCCATGCCCACTTTTCTGCTGTAGAGCAGAGATCATGATATGCTGCAGTGGGGAGCTTCACCCTGCACATGTGGACTGCACACAGGTGCAGCAGGTGCTAAATAATTTTAAATATTTATTTAAATTTAAAAAAATTCCTGCCAATCGTGCAACACATCCATCAGTCAGCCAGTTGTGTGTCATGTCCAATCATACTTTGAAAATCTGCAAAAAAGCAAGTCCCTGAAAGTCGAACCACGAAGTAGTGAGGGACGTTTTTTTAAATTTATTATTATTCAGAGGATTTTTTGGAAGTCTAATAGAACTCTTTGCTTTGCATCTCAAATCACTCAGAGGTGGAAAACCAAAAAGTGCCAACAGTCTAAATAGTGGAATTTTGCTCAGCACTTGCTTAAAGGTTCACTGGTGACCTGTGACCGTGCAAATCCAACCTCATCATTTTAATTAGTTTTGACCTGGCTTTAATGACTCCTACCTGGATTATCCTGCTACTTCTGCTAGAATCACCTGTTTCCAAGGGGAGCTGTAAATCCTCCTAATTTTTTCCATGAATTGCCATCTAACTTGCTGCTGGAAAAATAAAAAAACTGCAATTAAATCAAAATGTGTATGATTCTGCCAATAGTATAACTCAAAAAGATTGTTATAGATAAGAACACTAGAATTGTTCATCTTAATCTCTGGGGATTACCAGTCTGTTTGATGTACTAGCTACAGTGGAAGTCTTAACATTTGTTAATTTTAAATGGTAAACTTTTTTTTTTACATCACCCTGTGTTTTATTCCCAGGACTGACATTTTTATGTATTTTTTCTTAACAAAAACACTATTGAGCCAAAACTTTTAGATTTGTTCCTGCTCATTTGCTTGGGAATGTTTATCTTCACCTCTGAAAAAAAAAAAAAAATCTGCTTTTGTTGCATATTCACAAAATTGGTCACTGGCAAGAATTTGTCCAGCTTGAACATCCACTGCATTCAAAATGTGAATAAAAATAAAATAAAAAAAGGCAGCATATTGAGTGCATGCTCTTTGGAGGGGGATCAAAATTACCATCCTCCTCGTTTCTTTGTCAGGTCCTCTTTGCTTTGTCTCATTGCAGTAAAGTGATCCTAAAGTTCATCAGTAAGACCAAATAAGAGGTAAAGTATTGTATGAGTGCCAGAAAGTCGGACATAGTGGATTGGCAAAATGCTTAAGACAAAACAAAAAGCAAATATATTTTGAATAAATGGATATAAAACAAATATTTGCTATGTTCCTAAACTTGGGGGTTTTTTTTAAAGGAGGGTCAAGTGATGTGCTTTAGGCATTCTGTCTTACAAACCATTCAGCCAGTCATATTTTTTTTTTCCAGATTATGGTAAACATTTTTTCCTGCTACCTATTTCGCTGTCTTGGCACATGGAGACTGGTGAAAAGATTAAATAGACACAGAAGACTGGGAGTCACTGGTTAAGCTCTAGCTCCATTTTGTGGAGGATTCTTGTTATTTTCCTTGGTCAGCTTTTTTCTTGTTCAACTTATTTTGCCCTTATTTTTCCCTCTGTTACTAACTTGCTTTGAAAACAAACTAACATCATTCATGGAATGTGACATTTTACTAACCAGTATGTTTTTTTGTTTTTTTGTTTGTTTGCTGTTTAACAGTGTACTAACAGTATTGACCATCATATATTATTTGAGTAACAATCGTTATTCTGTTCACAGTTTTTTAATTTCCTTTCTCCCCCTTTTCCACAAAGCACTCAGGCATTGGACACGCTATGGTAAACAAACTACATTGTTCGGTAGATATCATTCTAATTGTTTCTTAGTTTGGGTTTGCCGTGTGTTTCTTTTCTTTCTTTTTTTTAAATTGTAGACGTCATTTACAAAATAAGGGAATCTGCGGTTGGTACTCTTCTGCTTACTTTTTGAATTCTTTTTGAATTTCTTGGTTCATTCATTGGTTTCACCCGGTTGTTTCATTTGTTTTCTGTCCAATTCTGTTTGACCCACCTTTTCAGGAGCATCATTTCGAGCCTTTTGCAACAAGCTGTGGTTAATAATGAGGACGCTCTCCTGTCTGGCTGGTCTGATGCTCTATAGCTCAGACAGTTGTTTCTCCATTCACTTTGCATGGCATGCTGTTTGTCTGACATGTTGCAAATGTCAAACTTCCCATTTGCCGACATTAGTATTATGACAGTTGAGCTGTGTTTGTCATTTCTTTTATGGTGCTTTGTTCTGCTTATTCAGTAGGCCTGTCACAATAACACATTTTGCTGGGCGATTAACTGTCTCAGAAATTATTGCGATAAACGATAATATTCTTTGAAATTTGACAATAATTAGTAATTATTGTCAAATTTAAGAACAAATGCTGGTTAATTTTTGTGTGTAGTACCTTTTTTGACCACTGGATGACAGTATAAGACTGTTTTTGAACTGAAGGATGAATAGTGAGGGAGCGGGCAGCGTGTCTCTTTAAAAAAAATGGGAAGGAGGCCCCTTGACATGACATGGGGTGTCTCTCGTTACTGTTTTTCAGTTCCCAAAATGGCGGCCGCTCGTGTGGTTTGAGCTCTTTAGCATAGCATTTGTCACACAAAGCTTTTAATAAAAAATCAGTAAACAAGTTCTCAGCTTATTTTTGCAGAGAAAAACAACTTTTTACATGAAGGCACGGGTTTCAACCGTGAATTTTGGAGCTTTGACCTTTTGACAAGACAGAGTTTTTTTCCCCGAGGTCGGCTTGTCAATTTAGGTCGTAGCTTAGCTTCTCAGCTTAGCTGCTTTTAACGATCCAAAAACACGATTGTGGAAGGTTACATGGATTTTAAAGAAAAAAGAGAAAGGGAGGGTTCAGTGAAGAGCACCAGAGTCGAGCCTTTTGTCATCCAGTGTCTTCAGTAGAAAGAGAGACACGAAGAAACGATAAAGCCGATAAATGAAAATGAGGCCAATAATTTTCATTTATCATGCGATTAATTGATTTATTGTTTATCGTGACAGGCCTATTATTCAGTGTCCATGAAATTCTTCAAAAAATTATGCATGCATGTGACACTGAAAATACTAATTCTTAGTCCCAATCAAGAATTTGGGAACTTTTTTTTATTATTATTTATTGATGATAAAAAGAAAAGACAAATACATGCATGTTTTGTTTTTTGTATCTGGTTATTTTTCTATATTAAAAAGGTGATTGTGCTTCCTAAAGCATGTGCTCCCTTTTCTAACTAGAGGCACGTTGTGATTTTTTTTTTTTTTTTGTAGAACAACTGAATGTACTAATTTGAAATAATAGTTAAACTAACCTGAATAACACTTTACTAACACCATTTTTGTGTCTGCTAAATTAATTTTTTAAGTTGCAGTGGAGGCAATACTAACACTGTAGTATGGGCAGTTCACTAACTCTTTACTAGAATAGTTTTCCACTGAAGGCGTGTGTCTTCCAACTAATCAAACTGGTCAAAATAATTATAAACAAGAAAAAAGACAATAAACCAGACATGAAAATGGGTTTGGGAATATAAAAATAAAGGAAAGTCAATCTTGATAAAAATAAAAAAGGGCAATAATGGTAATAATGCAGGCTGTTTGAGTATAGTTTGTCTTTTCCCTGTGCTTTGTTGTTTAGGTAACGATATCTGTGGATGGGATCCTGACCACCACTGGATATACGCAGGAAGACTACACCATGCTAGGCTCAGATGACTTTTTCTATGTTGGAGGGAGCCCTAGCACTGCTGACCTGCCTGGATCTCCCGTTAGCAACAACTTCATGGGTTGCCTCAAGGAGGTAAACACTACTTCTGTGTGAACTCTTAAACTAGTGGGTGTGCAGGATTCAACTCGCTTCACCTAAAGACACCAGAACTGACTCTTCCACCCACGTGCTGACCTATGTCTCTTCCTGAACATTCTACTTGAGCTAGTTTCTCCTCTCCCCCTCTTTTTTTTTTCATAACACAAACTTTTTTTTTTGTTTCCCATTGCAATCATTCTTTTTCTTTGCAGACGTTTAGCACATACATAGACACGATTCAAACGCCCAGCTCGGTCTTGAAGTAGACCTCACCACTGTTCATTTACAGTGCTGTCAGGTACGCATCAAAGAAGAGCAGTGATCCAGAGATCAGGGAGAAGAATTTTTATGAGCACTCAGAAAACTGACACTTTTAAACCCATACAGTTGGTCAGGAATACTGCAATCATACATTCTAGTGCTCAAGAAACGTGTTTATTTAAATCGCCACTTGACAAAATCAACTATTATTCTTATTTTAATTCAAAATGACCCAATAGTTCATTGCGATTTCAATGAACTTGCTCTCCTTTCATTTCCTGCTTGCTTATTATTTTATTTTTTTTGTGACCGACATATTGTGTCTTACCTCAACCTTTTGCTGTCGTCTTTAATTACCTCTTGGGGAATTCTCAGGCAAGGTGTGGACCACACATTCTCCTGCCACGTTTAACATGTTAGAAGTCTTGTTACCGTGTCTGGTTTAGTTAGCTACATGTCTCTGGAGTGATGCAGATTTGGTGACAATACAAGTCACTTAGTGCCGACAGCACAGAATAAAGGTTGCATGAAATTTAATTTGTGACATCCCATTAATCTTAACAATGTTGCTATCATTACAGTAACAACCCACCAACAACGGCGTTGGTTCTCCATTGCTGAAATGTTACAGCGCAAAATGAACTATGATGTATTTCGTAACATCTTTATGGCATGTCCAGCTTTTTAAACGAGTGTTGGTAAAAGAGGATAAGGTGCTACAAAAACAAAATTGTTGCATTATTTTTACAATGTTAATATCAACACGTATGCATCATGTTATGCTTGTTTTCTCATCCTATGAGATTCTCAGTCCAGGGCTGCATAATATACAGCAACTTTAACATTTTTGCGATATCAGTGAGCACAATATTAATATTGCAAAATATGGTTTTGGCTGTAATCAATTATATGCGACCACATTTCGAGTAACCGTAAATTTATATTATTATGTTATTTGGTCAATCCAACTGATTCTCAGAGACTTGATGCCCACACCTGTCACAGATTACAGTGTCACCTTTTTCATAAATTCAAGAATCAGCTCCTGCCCAAATATTATAAATTATACAGTTTCTTGAAAAATGCAAAGGGACAACTCAACTGTGCTCTGACGCTGGTTGTTTACTTTTTGTTGTCACTTCGGTAGCAAATTGTCTGATTCAGCACACGTATCCATTGGAAACAGTGGGTTGGAAACATTTAAATTAAATTAAATATGCCTTACCTAAATAGATAAATAGTTTTAACTTACTTTTTATGTATGTGAATGTTTCTGTTCAGTGCCCTGAGATGACGTCTGTTGTGACTTGGAGCTATATAAATAAATAAAATGAATTGAATCGAATTACCTAAAAATAATGAATACTTCATTAAGCATCATAAATCATTTACAATTAATATATCTAATTTCCAAATAATGTTGTTAGATATCAATACCAAAATGTATTGCATTTCCATTCAAATGCCATTTTTTTGTTCTCAAACACAAATTAAATCTCAAATCAACACCAGCTTTGAAGAAATTTAGTGCCAACAGCCTTAAAACATTTCAACAACAATAACCCTAACCAATGTTATCCTATTAATTGTTCAATGAGAATACTTTTTTATTCAAATGAACGTAAATCGGACCGTCTTTTTGACATTTTGATCGCTGTTATTTTGACAAAGTGGCACCGTTGGTTTGATATGTGATGTAGTAACGTGATTACACATTAAATATGGCTCTCGTATTTTTAATAAATAATCAAAATTTTATTATTGACCTACTAAAACTGTCAAACTGATTTGCAATTTAGTTGTGTTGTTTAATTGTATTTTTGTGTTTTTAAATTGCCCATGACTTTCAGGGGTGGAGATTTTTTATGGTAGAGGCAGAAATGTTTACTTGAAGGGGCAGCTCTTGTGTGATGTTAGGAAACTTGTAAGTGGCTGTTGTGTTTAAAATTAATGTTTATGTAATTATTTTCAGATTACTTGTCCAGTATAGGTTTTATTTGTTCAAGGCAGTCAGATTTGTTCATAACTTTACTAGTAAACCTGGGAGTTACTGGATCAAAGCAAATAGTTACCGGGACGCACCCTGTCAAAAGAAGAGTCTTCCCAGATCCTGTTCTGGCAGGATCCAGCTCAAATTAAGCTCTGCCAGTTTGGTATAAACTTTTAAAATTAATTTTATAATATTGCCACAGCAATGTCTCTGGTGAACCTTCCCAAGAAAGTTGAGGCCACATCACGTTTAACCATAAACTGTTTTAATTCTACTGTTTAATTGGGAAACTCAAGATGTCATGCAGATGTCAAGAACAATTCAGTTCAATTCAGTTTATTTATATAGCACCATACCACAACAAAGTTTTCTCAGGACACTTTACATGCACATGCACATACATTAGAAGCCCATTAGTAAAGTTCTCTATCTAAGGAAGCCAGCAGACATGTTGAATCTTCACTTCGACGCAGTCTCCCAAAAACAGACTACAACAATCTCAGATGGCTGTTTACTTCTTGAGTATATTAACAAAAATTCACAGGATTCAGCATTTTTGCTAATAGTATTAAAGTGCATTGACTAACATAAAGTACTGCTGAGTGTAAGGAAGCAACAAGTTGTTGTGAGTGAGAGAGGGAGACGGAATAATAAAGAAAAATATTTGAACAGTAGCTTTGTTAAACTATTAGAAAAAACTGAGTGCACAGTTTCTATTTCTACTCAGCTAACATTCTCACCAGTTGGCACCTATTGTTCTGATTGGCACAAGAACCAGAGGCTGCTGCCTTTAATGGCACCAAATCAGTTTCTCTCACATAAGAAGGAACCAGACTAGAAGAACCAGACTACCACCTTCCTTTTGTTCTTTCTCTACATTTTAGCCAATGCTTCATCAGTTTTATGAGGACATGATTCGTTTTTAATGTGAGTGCTGCAAAAGACTCTTGTCTCGCTCATCTGCACAAAATGCACCCAAACATTATAGGTAAAAAATAAACTATGAAGCCTGCACAAAAAATACATTTTATAGTGATGAAACTTACAAAGATGAGCAACTAAGGACATTGCAAATAATTTACAACTTTTTTATTGTCGTGTAGATTCAAGGGGATATTTTATCAAGACAAAGCACAAAAGGAAAATCACAGAATACCCTTGTTCATTGTGAAACATTAAATGTATGTTTTAATAAATAAAATCCAAACATATCAGATAAGGCATACCTGCAAAACATTATACATTTTTCAAGTTCTGCAACCTGCAAGTTGCAGTTCGATTCAATCTATACCTTTTCACTACATTGACGGTCTTTGTGCATCATGTCAGCCAATGCTGTGCACTTACACATGCACTCCATCCCAGGTCAGCTGCTGAGCATGTTGTGCTGGAATATGAACTGTAGTTTAGGAGCATGTGCAGTGGGCCCTGATTGATGGCATGTCCGAAAGTGGTTTTCTTGCAGTATTTGTGCAGATTCCAGTCTGAGCCGCCACGCCTGCTTGTTGGTTCTGATGGCAAAACAAACGGTGGTGCAGTAATAGCTCAGTTGTCACAACCATGGTTTGATGACAAATTAGTGCAGCATTACTAGTGCAGTGCAAGGCATAGCCGAGACCAAAGCTTCTTTAACTCTGAAGGGTGCCCTTTGTCTTGACCATAAAACGAATGATTTAGGTTTATTGGTTTTATCTGTTCCATCGTTGTCTGTATGATTTAGGCCCAGCTAGCAGATATATTTTTCTTTATCCCTTCTTTTCTTTTCAACTATCTTATATTTAGATAGTATATTTTTGGTCAAAATACATTTTTTATTTCCATTTCTATTTATCTGAAGTTAAAAACTTGCAGTCATAGTAAAAACCCTTAAAAATGTATGCTAAATATATGATAACAGAGACTTTGTACCATCTGTTTCTTGATTTCCATGCTATTGATTGCAGTTAGATACAGCAAGTCACGTAGTATTTTTGAAACGCTAACCCTGGGCATGGCTAATTTCGGATGCAGCACTACACATTTGATCCACCTGAACTGTTAAACACTGCAGATCTGAGTCACTGATAAACTCAGTGCTCAGTGCTATTGTAATCCCACTGGTGGTGTCCCCAATTTCAGGCAAATGCTTAGGATGACATATGTATATATATTTTTTTAATCTATTTTGTAACATGGGCAGCACGGTGGCGCAACTGGTAGAGCTGCTGCCTCTCAGCGAGCAGGTCCCTAGTTCAAACCCCGGTCCAGGGGCCTTTCTGGGTGGAGTTTGCATGTTCTCTCCGTGCATGCGTGGGTTTTCTCCGGGTACTCCGGTTTCCTTCCACAGACCAAAAACATGCATGTTAGGCTGATTGGTAACTCTAAATTGTCCCTAGGTGTGAGTGAGAAAGTGAATGGTTGTTGGTCTCGTTTGTCTCTATGTGGCCCTGTAATGGACTGGAGACCTGTCCAGGGTGTACCCCGCCCCTCGCACAGTGATTGCTGGACATGGGCACCGGCGACCCCCGTGACCCAAAATGGAACAAGCGGGTAAAGAAAATGGATGGATGGATGGATGGATTTTGTAACATTTAACAGCTTGGATTTATTTGATTTGCTTCAATGGAACACACATGTACCTTTACAAGTCTTTAGTGTTAATGTTGCTATTCATCACATGACCAATTTCTAACAAACGGATTGTTTTGTCAGTCTGAAAAGATCATTGACTGTGCTTTATCATTGTTGTTGTAAAACTGTAGCCACTTCTCCCTGTAATCAAACCCGAGCTTTCATAATATTTATCTAGCAAACTGATTGGCACAGTGCATTTAAACATGCTTGTGTCAGAATTTCTGGAGTAAGACCATGACAGGCACTCTGATGTTTTAATTAAAGAGTTTGACATTTGCCTAAATGCTAATTAGCTTCTCATATGCAAATTGAAAATGACAAGATGGACGGATTCTTGTTTTTAGAGCTACACAACTTCAGCAGTTAGTCTCTCATTATAAAAATTGGATGATGATGAGGTTATGGTTGCTTCAATTTGTTTCTGAAAGACCCTCGTCAATTACTGTAACACTTCCGTTTGATTTCTATGCAATGTGGCATTAAGTGCATTAACACAAAATGTGATAACATTTGAGATTTTACTGTATTGCATTTAAAATCAATCTATAGCATTCTGTTGTAATTGTTTATTGATATTGATATTATTGATGCATATTGCATATGCCTCTTAGGCCATCTTTTTATTAAACACAATGATCAAAAATGTACTTTTTGCTTCCACACCCACCTTCTATAGCAGCTTAGAGGTCATGGGTTCAATTCACTTTATGTTGTTTGACTTTATAAGGCTTAAACTGTCTGTGATTCATTTATATAAAATGATAGTGTTTAAATAAAACTATAACTGATTTGTCACTTTACCAATGCTCTCTCTAAATTGTGCATGCAGTGCTGAATGCTCCAGAGTGAATGAGTCAGCTCATGCACTTATTTTAGATAGGTACATCTATCATCTGCCCAGTTTTATTATAATCACCAGCTCCAACTGAGGCCCTAATCAGCATTTTATACAACACCTGCAATTAAGACTCTAGTTTAGATTCATCACTTTCCTTGCACGTTCCTCATTGACTCATAATATATACCAGATAAGTCTTCCCAAACCTTTAATCTAGTTGTTTTATAAATTGAGCAGGCGTGGCCGATTCTTAAGGGAGAAGAAGAAAAAAAATTGCCCTACAATGTAATTCCTCCTAATAAATAATTAAAAATGCTTAATTTTTAGCTTGCTGTACACTCTTTTTAAATCTGTTTTTCACAAATTTTGACAAATTTAGATGGAAATTAAAATACTTAGCAATGATTTGTTCCTGTGTTTTTGTACTTATTTACATTTATGATGCCGTACGAGTTATCACCCACATTCGTCAGTTTGTCTCGTTTGTCTCTATGTGTACCTACGATGGACTTGTGACATGTCCAGGTGTATCTTGCCTCTCGCACAGTGACTGCTGGATATGGGCACCAGCAAAACCTATTACCCTTAAAGGAAGAAGCGGGTAAAGGTAATGGATAGATGGATTAGGTAACTCCAATAGAGTCTCGCCGCCCACACATTCTGCTGGTTTTAGCTTATTGACACAACCACTACTAATTCTGGATATTATATGATTTTATTTATTGTGGGTAAAACTTGCAACAAAACCTTTTCTGTCTAACAATGTATACTCAGTTCAAAACATCAGTTTGTGAGAATAAACTTGGAAGATTCATTATTCATTATACTTTTTTTTAATCTTTGTTTTTTTCCTGCTTGCTCTCCACGAAGGCGGACACTTTTCCCTCCCACTCCTGCTTCCCTCCTGCTTCTGCTCTTTGTCCTGTGAACCTTAATAATGGCATCAATATGCTGCTATTTCTGTGCTGTTTTTTTTTTTTTTCCTCAACTTTCACACTGTGTCCCATCTAGGACACAGTGTGAGCTCATGTTTCTCTTTTCCTTATCTAAACAAAAGAGCAGCATCTCCCACAAGGCCACAGCCTCAGACACCTCCGTCTACCCATGTCCGTTTGTACTTGGATGGGCTGTGCTGAAATGTAATTCTGTTGTGCTTTGGTGCAATTACAATAAAGCTGATTATGGTTTATGATCAGTCAGAAGCTTTAAGAAGACTGATTGGATATTAAGAGATCTTAGAAAACTAAATACAGAGGGAAGACATACAACAAGACATTTTCTCCAACACGATAGACTTATTTTCCATGTCTACTTATACTAAGATTGACCATAAGTAGTTTTTATTTGAAAAATCATATTGGTAAAAAAAAAAAAAAAAAAAAAAAAACCACTGTGCACTCATTTTATTTATTTATTTATTTGTTTATTTATTTAGCTTCATTTAATAGAAAAAGCCAACCAAAATGTAAACTTTATGGTTAGTGATTCAGGAAATGACTATCAGCCCTACTAATGTTCAGGAATCACCACTGAAATTGAAGTTTCTTTCATAGACACTAAATCTTCACTAAAAGTCCAAATACAAGTGTTATTATTTTGTCTTTCACCCTGCCAGAATACATTGTACACTTGTGGTGAAGACTTCAAACAAGGACCAAAGATAGCAAGGAACCGAGTGGCATTTGTTGCCATGTAGGTGCAACTTTAGCGCTTGAGGCACGCGAATCCTGCTCATGACACACTGTCCCCAGGCAGTAAATGTTACATAGACAACTGCTGGTTACTTGTAACATTTCATGAAACATTTACAGTCCATTCTGCACAACTTTATTTTATGCTTTTTTTATTTATTACAGTACTGTGCATTTAACCTAAACTTTCTGCATTCATTTCAGGTTGTTTATAAGAACAACGACGTGAGACTCGAGTTGTCCAGACTGGCAAAGTTGGGTGATCCTAAGATGAAGATCCATGGCACTGTTGCCTTTAAGTGTGAAAATGTAGCAACTCTGGATCCCATTACATTTGAGACACCTGAATCTTTTATAATTCTCAACAAATGGAACGCTAAGAAGACAGGCTCCATCTCATTTGACTTCCGCACCACTGAGCCCAATGGCCTTCTCCTTTTCAGCCATGGCAAGCCCAAACAACACCCAAAGGATTCCAAGACGCCACAAACTCTTAAGGTGGACTTCTTTGCCATTGAAATGCTGGACGGACATCTGTATCTGCTGCTAGATATGGGCTCAGGAACTACAAAAACCAGAGCCGTCAATAAGAAGGTCAATGATGGTGAATGGTACCATGTGGACTTCCAGCGAGATGGAAGATCAGGTAAATTTTAAGGCTTACAAGCACACAAACACACAAGACAATTGAGATTAATCAGATGGAGCATGTTTTAAGATTTTTTTCCTTTTCATACTGTCTGTATGTTAACCTCAAGGGCCTCTGTACAAACCAATGTTTACATGTTTGTATGTGATAAAAGATTATTTTTTGTTCCATCAAACATGTAAAGACTTTATGCTCCAACGTTCATCAGAATCCGTGGCTTAAATCTTGGCTATGCACCATGTTGATGAATAATTTAACAAACAAAAAAAACAGGCTGTGGGGTTAGAAGTATATTACTCATTGAGAAAAAAAAATCTTACCATGGAATGGTTGATACTACATTACTACTCTATGCTCACTGCAAACATTTGTACACTTACTGTAATGAGAAGCTTTGAAAAGCATCAACTTGACTTCAAATGTTCAGCACATGTTGTGATTCTAGAATCTAGACACATCAAGCGTTTGACACTAAATAGTGTGCTCTCTCTGTGTCCTGTAAACCCTCAGTGGCCCTTCACACACCCCTGCTGATTTGCTTATTTAAGTAGCAATTTGTTAGTATGAGCTTACAGTCGGGGTCTTTTAATGTCATGTTACCAATCAGATATACCTCTCAGCTATGTTTTGTACGCCATCTCAAGAGGTGAACATTAGAATAACTGTTTCACTACCACTCCAAGCAATTTAATAATAATAATAATGTGTTATGTGTTGTCATCATTGTATGTTCCCATACACTGGCAAAATTTGCTCTGCATTTAACCCATCCACCCCGTAGGTGAAGCAGTGGGCAGCTATTGAAGGTGCCCAGAGGGCAAGGTGTCCTGCTCAGAGATAATGGTTGGGGATGTGCAATGTGCAATGACTAGGGATTGAACCTAAAACTTTCAGGTCCTGAGTCGGCTGCCCTGCCTCTACCCCATCTCGGCCTCAGTTTGGGTTGTACTTAGACAATGATCTACATACATTGTTGAAAAGCTCCATGCATCCATCCATTATCTTTACCCGCTTCTTCCTTTTTGGGTCACTGGGGTCGCCGGTGCCCGTGTCCAGCAATCACTGTGCTAGGGGCGAGGTACACCCTGGACAGGTTGGAAGTCCATCACAGGGCCACATAGAGACAAACAAGACACAAGACAAACCATTCACTCTCTCACTCACACCTAGGGACTAGGGACAATTTAGAGTTACCAATCAGCCTAACATGTATGTTTTTGGTATGTGGGAGGAAACTGGAGTACCCGGAGAAAACCCACCCATGCACGGAGAGAACATGCAAACTCCACCCAGAAAGGTCCCCGGACCGGGGTTTGAACCGGGGACCTGCTCGCTGAGAGGCAGTAGCTCTACCAGTTACGCCACCATGCTGCCCATTGAAAAGCTCATTTTTTACAGAATTCCTATCATGCAAAATAGTTGCTTTAAAATTTGGGTCATCGTGTGTGTGTATGTCTGACTATCTCATAATTAGTGGATTATGATGCAACTTCCAAATGATAAAAAAATGCTAATATACATCTAAAACTGATGAACCTATTGACTCAACCCAACTTAAGATGGCTGAATCATTTTTACACATACTGAGCTAACATTTGGTGTGGTATTAGCTGGAAATCATCTCCAACACAAACTCTGAGTGCTAAGAAATCCATTCAACCTTTATTTAGACAGGTAAATCCCATTGAGCCTCGATGACTCATTTACAAGAGAGACCTGATTACAAATTACAAAAAAGAAAGACCTGATTACAAATGAAACAAGATATGTGTTTAAACTTTTGACAACTGTTAGATTGAACCATTTCTTTTAAGAAAATATCCCATGAAGCACCAGTCAGATTCTAATGAAACTCAGAAATAATCTTTGGATGGACATCTCCAACATCATCAATTCTTGAGTCATCTAATTCCACAGCTAACCAATCTTAGAAAACACCAAAAAAATAGGTTAAAAAAATGCATATCTTTATGAATATTCAACTCAAATTTGGTGTTGTAGTTAAGTGCCATTTGTTCAAATCTTTGACATGCAAATGCATTCAAGCAATGGTCATTTGCACGGCATTATTCTTTTTTTGGTAATAATCCAAAACCTAGGTACAGTATTTGAAATTTTTGTCTGGGCTGAAGAATTACAGCCAAGATCAATCTTGATCATTAATATACAGTGTATGTATATTTACTGAGTAATTTTCACCAAACCTTTTGAAAAAGAAAATTGTTGTTTAATTCCCGAATAATACAAATCCACAACATTTAGTTCTGGTAGAACAAACTATAGAAAGTCCAGTCAAACTAAATTAGATTGTGTTCAATATCTGTCTGGTGTACTCCTGTCACCCACCCGTACACTCTTACATCCACACACTTTAACAAATGCTCACACAACCCCAAGCTCTCTCTTCGAGTTCTCTCTACTCACCCATCTCTCTCTGTCTACCCTGCCCAAGTTTCCATGGAAACAGGAGGTGGTCTATCGTAAAACCAAGACTGCACAGTGCTGTGCTGAGCAGTGTGCTAATGACATTTTCAAGTAACTTTTCCTCCATTCCTCAAGGCTCTGGCATCAACACTTATGTACTGGAGTGTAAAGAGGACATAAAAAAAATAGGTCTCCTATGATTTACAGAGTATGAATAGTTAAAAGATTAGCTAAAATGGCTGCACCATTACTTTAAAATGAAGGTCAAGGTCAAGGTTCTTTATTGTCAGTCACATCCCATGTGGTACATGAGGTGGAACGAAACTTTGTACACAGGGTCCCAGTTACACCCAACAATTGCAAAAGTATAAATTGTAAAAAAAAAAAACATGGTAGGATCTAAGTGTTTTAGAAGTGTATGTGCAAATCCAAATAAATGTCCTGGACTACTTCTGGTGCATAGTGGTCCAAAGCTCAAAGCCCATTTTTATACTTAATATTTTATTAATTTAAGATAATTTTAAAATAAAAAAAATTCACAAGTCCCCCAAGAGCATAAGTCACGAAACATATGGCACTCACAGCTTTTCATTTGCGCGTCAGATGTTTTATTAATACACACCACCAAGCACATCACTCATAACAAAAATGCAACACAACAGCCAGACATAATTATCTGCGGCCTGGTCTTCCACAAGCAACTCTTCTTGCAGCTGTGACAACGGCAGATAATGATCCCTGCCCTATTTAGTTTTGTCAGTTCTTCCGACGGGAAACAAGCCTGCAAATGGACTCTCGCTCTCTGAAAGCCTCTTCTAACCCCAATACATTAGAGATGCTAGAAGACACTATGCTTTTAAGTGAGGGTTTCTATGCTGGGAGTGCTGCAGGTCACTTATCAGGGACATTACATGGACATTCCTATGAAGGGCACATGCACCACTACTTCAAAAGCAAGCATGGGGTAAACGGACACATGGATGTGCAGACATGCAGGCAACACATTCCCCATTGTCAAATCTCACTCACCAGCTTCTCTTTCTACAGAGAATCCAATCACATACAGAGATTTGGCCCCATTGCCCTAACTGGATTGCAATAATCCCTTGCCCAACATTTTGGGGATGTGTAAGTAGGGTTAGGGGAAATCATGCCACGTTGAGCCAGGCTGCTGATGCAGAAGGTGTGTAAGAGATTTAAGCTGTCATTTTGAACCCTATGTTCAGATTTACCAATAGATTGCTCCTTATAGGTCAGCTTATGTGGAAAGAGAAGCAATGACAGAGATGTGGTTGAACTGCTGATTGTCCCAATTTGTTTATTCTCTTCACTGTGAAACGTATGAATTTTCCTTGACTGTTTTTTTCAGGAATATAGTCTTATCTGTCATCATTGAAATCTCTCACAACTTCTTTTCAGCCATCTCTATCTCCACACTCTCATTTTATTTAATTTCACTTTCCTTTTGTATGCTAATTTTTTTGCTTTTGCAAAGTCAAATCTGTCTCCTTTCCCCGCAGACATGGAAAATGTCCCCAAAAATATGCTCCAATCCATTGTGTGCATATGTGTTGTGTTTTCCTTACGTAAAGCATCACAATAGTTCACATCCCCAAGGGATTGTGTTTTGCTTTCTGATTTAACATAGTTTGACAGTGTTTAAACACTTCCTAACAGGACTTTGACAAGTGAGCAGAGCAGTCTGAGTAGAAGCCTTAGATGTCTCATCCTTCTCTCGTCTTCTACTTGCATCTGTTTAGACACACGCTTGTTGATTCACAAGTTTCTATTGGCTGTTTATGACTGCAAAAAGACTTATTATTAAGAATTGAAACATAAAGATTTAAAGGGGCTTTTACCTTGATGATGCCCATCATTGTTTACTTTGTGAATGAATTATTCACATTAACAGTCCAAACCACTTCTTACTGCTGCAGGGTGGATCTGTCAAAACTGATACGTCTCTCACAACTCATCCTGACCATACTGATGTTCATTCTCTAGATGGGCACCTGCTTTACTCTCAGAAAAGTTTTCACACTAATGAGTTTGATGTAGTGAGCTCGTTAGCCATAACCTGAAGGGAGCTGTTCTGGCTGGGTGACGGGCAGCCCATGCCAAGTGTGCAAAGCTTGGAAGTCTCAACAGCTGGTGCTGGAGAGAGCTGGGGCAGTGGGTGACTGCAGGAAAGTGCTGGAACAGATGCCTGGGGCTAAGACCCCAAGAAGAGAGCTGGAACATGTTACTGTGCACCAGGTTAATCATTGTGTGCTTGGTCCTTAGCTGTCAATTTAATGCACTTTTGCAAAAAGGCTGACTCACCTTGGCGTTCAGAAACAGCAAACATAACATAACATATTAGCTTCTTTTTTTTTCTGTCAAATAAATTAATAAGAATAAGCACAAATACAAAATATATACATGTTAATGGTTAAAAAATATATATGTATAAATATTTATGAGTTTCACATTTATGCATGCTAATGGAAACTGTATACATATTTGAAATGCCCCATTTAGTGTCTATTTTCCTCTAAAATAAGCCATGCAGCCCTGTTGAAAATTCATGTGTGGCTCTGGGCTTTTTTACAAGCATAAACACTTTGACTGAAAAAGGTCACTTAAAAACCATGGTCCTAACATGCAGACTCACAGTTTTGAACCTTGCCATTTAGCCCAAAGCAGTCAGCTAATAACTCTGTCATATCAGCCATGGCAGATATGACCAAGTATTTTGGAGCATCCTTACCCTACTTTCCCTCTGCCACTACCTGTGTGGCTCCTTAGCAGCACAGTTTATAGATTACTCAATGAGGATGTGGGCATTGGAGGCAGCCAACATTAATTAAAGTCCACAATGGCTCCTGTGCAGAGAGTGACAGATCCATATACAAATTAATCACCAGGTCTGAGTCCCACAGTAAGGCCTTCCTTTTCCAAAGCTTTACAGTCCAGTCATGTCCGCTGTTGTTTACCGTGCTCCAGATCGAGAATTAAACCTGAATGAGAGTGATAAATCACGATGGGGAAACACACAAACTCCCATTGCAGGTTTATGTGTTGGTGAGGCAAAAAGAAGGAGAGACAGGGTGAAAAAACACAGCCTGCAGACCGTTAATCAAGTTCAAAAAGATGGCTTGGATTTAGGCTTTTTTTTTCTTCTCATGGTGGAAGAGGGTGTCTGCAATGATAAAGAGGGCAATGATTTTTATTTTCCTTACCTTTCTTTTTATGACCACTGCTTTTATAGATAAAGAAGATTTATTAGAGGAAATCCATGGAAAATGGAGAAGATGCTCCTTAGGGATCCCAGATTAAGTTTCTAATTGACTAGCCGCCCTGTGATTAATAAGTCTTATCAACGATCATCAGTCATTCTAAAGGAAGAAGGTCCTGACCCTGTTCAGATGTATAACCCCAATTAGACTAATATTTTCATCAAACCATTTTTTAATAGATTTTCTTTGCTTGTTTGTGGTTCCACAGACCATTTGCATCTTTTGGCATAACGTATTAACGTGACTGGACAATATCAGAGTGGGAGAAAAGAATGCATCTGTAACATATAAACAAATCTATATATGCCAATAGATTTCTCCTTATATATCCTTATGTTGCTCATTTGGTATATATATATTTGCCTTTTTTTTAACTTCTTGTTATTTTTTTCAGGTACCATCTCCATCAATACCCTTCGTACTGCTTATACAGCCCCTGGAGAAAGTGAGATCCTGGACTTGGATGACAATCTCTACCTTGGGGGTCTGCCAGAGAACAAAATGGGGCTGGTGTTCCCTACTGAGGTGTGGACAGCACTGCTCAACTATGGCTATGTGGGCTGCATCCGAGATTTATTTATTGATGGACAGAGTAAGGATGTCCGGCGGCTGGCAGAGGTCCAGAAGGCTGCTGGGGTCAAACCCTCGTGTTCTAAAGAGCCTCCTAAACAGTGTTTGAGCAACCCTTGTCAAAACAATGGGATCTGTCGAGAGGGTTGGAATCGTTACGTGTGCGACTGCTCTGGGACTGGATACCTTGGACGTTCCTGTGAAAGAGGTAAAACTTTATTTTTGTTTATTTTACATATTCAGCTGTTAGACTGCTTATACTTATGGTTTTATATGAACTATATTTGATACAGGAGAAGCTTGCTGCACAGAAGCACACTTCTTCACTGTTAACTCTTTAGTGACACAATCATAAAGTCACAAATTTATATGTATTCAAACTGCACAGTAAGACAATATGACAAACTTATAAGTAATGCTACTCTCATTCAACCTTTATTTATACAGGTTAGTCTCATTGAGCCTCGGGGACTCATTTACAAGAGAGACCTGTTTTTACCAAATAATGATGACAACAGTAGACAACAAAGACAGCAGTAGACATTCATAAAAGAAAGCTTGTAAATTGAGAAGAACAAAAGAAAATGGTATTAAAAAAACATCTAGATTGTAAAGTGATGTAGAATATCAAAACCAGAAACTTGTCTGAAGCAACTCAGAGAAATAAAGGTCGAGAGCTTCAGATCTTTTTGCAAGGTGTTCCAGGATACAGGAGCGGATTAGGGGATGGCCCTTTTGCCAAGTTCAGTAATGTCTAATTTATATGGATAATGTATAATTATGGATGATGGATAATAACAAGGAAAATGGACAGATGGATGGATCCATCAATGGGTGAAAGAATGGATAGATGGATGGATGGATGAAGGATGGATGGAGGAAGAATGGATGGAGGAATGGATGGACATGGATGGATGGATGGATGTATGGATGGATATATGTATGTATGTATGTATGTATGTATGTATGTATGTATGTATG